ATTATGTTTATTGATTTGCAGATATTGTACTATTCTTGCATCCCTGGGATAAATCCTCTTTGGTCATGGTATATGATTTCTCTTTTTTCTGTCAGTGAAGCTCCTTATTTTCCTTTCAACTTTGAATGATAGCCTTGCTGGATAGAGTATTCTTGTATTCAGTGCCTTGCTTTGCATCACTTTGTAAATTTCCTTCCTTTTTTTTCTGGCCTGATGTGTTCCTGTTGACAAATCATTTGATAATATAATGGGAGCTACCTGCTATGTAACATTCTGTCTCTCTGGCAGCCTTTAAGATTCTCTCTTTGTCCTGAATATTTACCATCATAATTATGATGTGACTTGGTGTGGGTCTTTTTGGGTTCATTTTGTTTAGGATTCTCTGTGCTTGTGTGACTTTTTTCTTCACCACATCAGGAAATTTTCTGACATTATCTCTTCAAATAGATTTTCTAACTCCTGTTCCTCTTCCTGTTGTTCTGGCACCCCTATTATTCATATGTTGCTTCGTTTCATGTTGTCCCATAGTTCCCTTAGGTTATCCTCCTGTCTTTTAATTTTTTTTCTCCAATTGCAGTTCAGTTTGGTGTGTTTTGCTTCTGTCTTCTAATTTGCTAATTCAGTCCTTTCCTTCTCTTAGTCTACTGTTTCCATGGTGTTTTTTATTGAGGCTATATCACTCTTCATTTCTTCTTGATTCTTACATAAATTGTTTATTTTTTCCTCCATCCAGTTTATGAACTGTATGACTCTTATTCTGAATTCTTTTTCTGACATATGCTTGCCTCTGTTTCACTTAGCTGCTTTTCTGGCGGTTCCTCCTTTTCTTCCTGTTGGGGGTTTCTTAGTCTACCCATTTTTGGTCTCACCTACTGATCTAATGTCAAGTTGTGTCAGGGCTGTTCTTTGGGTGGCAGTGGCTCCTCTTGTGGGCGCTGTTCACACAGTGGTATCTCCTCTGGCTGGTGGGGAAGGCTGCTCCCACAGCTGCTGTTCCTTGGATGGGGCAGGGCTGCTCACATGGCTGTTGCTCCTTGTATCAGGGCTGGCTGCATGCTCATGCTGTTCCTCAGATGGGGCGGGCTTATCTTGAGGCTGCTGCTTCTTGGACAGGAGCAGGTTGCTTGCCAGGCTGGTGCTCCTCATATGAGTGCAGGCTCCTCACACAGCTGCTGCTCCTCAGACAGGGGACAGGCTGATTGCTTGGCTGCTGCTCCTCAGACAGGGGAAGGCCACTCACTCAGCTGCTGCTCAGACAGGTTCAGGTTGCGTGTGGCTGCTGCTCCTCGGACCAGTGCAGGCTATGCAGGACTGATGCTCCTCAGTCGTGGGCAGTCTGCTTATGTGGCTGCTAATCCTCAGACAGGGGTGGGCCATTCACCCACCTGCTGCTCATCTGTTAGGTGAAGGCTGTGTGTGACTGCTGCTCCTTGGACCAGTGAGAGCTCTTAGGATGTGGGTGGTCTGTTCATGTGGCTTCTGCTTCTTGGTCTGAAGTGGGCTCCTGCTCCTCAAATGGGGGCGGGTGCTTGTGGCACTGCTGTTCCTCATATGAGGTTGGGCTGCTTGCGTGGCTGCAACTCCTCTAGCCGAAGTGAGTTGCACATGCAGCTGCTGCTCCTCTGCTGGCAGTTGGCCACTCACCCAGCTGCAGTTCAACAGACCAGTGCAGGCTGCGTGTGGCTGTTGCTCCTTGGACCAGTGCTGGCTATTCAGGGCTGCTGCTCCTTGGATGTGGGCAGTCAGCTTGTGTGGCTGCTGCTCCTTGGTCTGGGGCAGGCTGCTTGGGTGGCTGCTGCTCCTCTATTGGATGTGGGCTGCTTGTGACACTGCTGTTCTTTGTGTGGGGGCAGGCTGCTCACACAGCTGCTGCTCCTTGGATGGGGGCAGGCTGCTCATGTGGCTGCTTCTCCTTGGACAGGGCAGGTTGCTCACACAGCTGCTGCCCCTTATAAAGGTACAGAGTGTGGAATGTGCTCAGCTGCTGCTCCTCGTATGGGGGCGGGCTGCGTGGGGAAGCTGCTCCTCAAATGTGGGCAGGCTGCTCTTGAGACTGCTGCTCCTCAGATGAGGCGGGCTGCCTGCATCTTTGCTGATCCTTGGATGGCTGATTGGGCTACTTATACAGATGCTGCTTTTTGGACAGGGACTGGAGGAAGGCTCATTCTGGCATGAATCCTCATATATTGGGACTCTAGTATAAGACAATGCTGTAAAATCTCCCTATAATAATTATTATTTGCATCTGAATCTTCTTTATTCAATAAAAACCAAGCCATCAAAGTTGAGTTATGTCTTCTACCCCTATCTAAAACATCAGCAAAATCATCAGCATAAAAATACAAATTTATTAATTGGTCATGCATTCGCATTGCAAAAAGTTTCCAAACAGCCTCAGGAGTGCTCACATACCTGGAGTCAATGAAATACTGTACTTCATCATGATTGATAATATTTTTTCAGAAATTTGAATATTTGTACAATTGTGCCCTTTATAGATGTATTTAAATAGATATTTGACACTTTTAATCGATCCACAGACTTCAACATTTATATGACAGTTATATTTGAGGCACAAATATGGTTATAAGGGACAATCCGAGTGTTATTGACAACTTTATTTCCAATAAAAATGGTACTACCAGAACTTTCTTTGTATTTGGGATATCCATCAATATTTCCAATGGTTGCATTTTGAAATTTTTTTGGACATCCCTTCAAACATTTTCCATTTTCCATACATGTCCTATTTGAATTTTGTATTCCACATGGTCCATATACCATATTTGATTTTACAATTTGAAAAAGTTGAGGACACTGATCTTCATCTGGAATTTCTGTCTTAACTATACAGTCAGTGTCATCTTCCATTCATAATTTGGATTCATTATCTAATATCAATAATCTGTGAGTGTGAGGCAGTCTATGTTTCTGAAATTCAATGACATGAATTTTAGCTATTACTTTGCCAAGTAAATGGAATTTACATATATCATTTAAATGAGCACTCAGCTAAATATTAAAAACTCTGGTATCAAGTCAGGTCTGTTTTCAACTTTTTGCCAGCACTGTAAATTGTTTGTAATGTCTGCCCATTTGGGGTTGTATGTCATGGTTATGAATAAATCTTAATCATGTGGCTGCTTGCCATACTTCATTACAATTGCCATAGCATCCTGATATCACTGCTGCGTATTTCTGGGACTACTCTCGAAAGATGATGGAAGTATTATAATTTTATCAATCAGCATATTGTCATTTTCAGATCTAGATTTGAAATAATCCATCAAAACACTATATTTTTCAACTCTCAACTTAGATTGGTTTGCTTTAATGAAATTTTTCAAATTAGCCTCCATTTTTTTATGTGAATCCACAATAAACTGTAGAGTTAATTTTCCTACATTTAAAATTGGATTGAATGTGTCCCCCACAGAGAGGTGAAATATATAATGGCCGCCACCCAGAGGTCCTCTCTCAGTAGCCTGCTGGGATGTGTGGGAAGCTTGGTCTCCTTCATCACTGGGCAATGAAGGAAGCCAAGCCTCTCACCGGCTCTGGCTGGCTTGTGGCTCCAGCCGGCATTGCCATCTTTGTGATATGGGCACCACCATCTTTGTTGTGGAGTTATGGTTAATTTACATTTTATTAGTATAGATTATCTCCACAATATTATACTGGCTATACAAGTCATCATGTGAAGGGGAAACCCAGAGGACTTGGATTTTCTTCACTACATGAGCTGTGATTTAAATGGTTCTGATGCTTCTCCATGGTTATTGGATTAACCCAATAACTCTTGGTTACTTGGTATAATTATTCATGGGCTTTGTGTTTCTCTGTCTCTGTCTGGATTCTTTCCTGTTGTCTTGTTCTATGTCCTAAGAGCTATTCTTATCTCTCCTGCCATAACCAGCTTTCAGGGTGGTTTTTTTTTTTTTTTTTTTTTTTTTTTTTTTTTTTTTTTTTGTGTGTGTGTGTGTGTGTGTGTGTGTGTGTGTGTGTCTATCTTATTCCTGCAAAGAGATGGTCTCTTATCTCTGCCATATGCACTTGGCGGCAGTTCAATAGGCTGTGCATCCAAGGTTAGGGAATCTTAAATCTTATTCTGTTCAAGGGGGAAAGCACATGGTTTCCTGCATTTTGGAACAGCTGTTTAAAGACAAAACTCCCTATCTTTCTTAGGCTGATTCTGGGAGTGACTTTTGCATTTTCCTGTGAGGATATCTCTTGCCTCCAAAGTATTGGTACAAGTCCCTATAAATTCTACTGGTTAAGGTGTGAGGGGCAAAAATATAATATTGGAAATGAATTTCTTATAATTATAAGAAATATAATTGATCATGCTCTGTTGACCATGATGATTCTGATTGGAGAGTACATTTTCATTTCACTGAGAGTTTTACACCCTGAAACATGGGAGTTAACATCAGAATGCAGTCCATCCTCCTGTCCTGAGAATTGACTATCATTATGGAATGACTTACAACTTCATGGCTGAGACAATCTAATCTTGGAGGCATCTGCTCTTTACAATCCACAGCCCCTATTATCTATAATCTGCCCCCCTCCCCAGCATGCATTACTTGTAATCTACAATGATTATTCCCTGCCCACTTTCCAATACCTACAATTTCTACTTTCCCAGGAAATCTTTGTCCTTCTACCCAATATAAGCAACTGGTTTATGGTGGGTTGATTGGGGAGGAGAGCAGATTTTTGTGAATGACCTGATACTTTCCCATAATGCTAGCATTATTAGAATAAAAGCTTATATATGGAATAAATGCTTATATATGATTCAATATTGTCTCTGTTTAATTGTCTGAAGTAGTGATAGACAGCCAAGACCCCTTGATTGTCCAATTACAAAGGCCAGACAATGGATCTTTTTTATTTGGAAAAATTTTGAAATTGAAAAGAAAAAAAAATATGTTTAGAGAGCTCTCATATCATTATAATAGTTAGTCAGAAAGATTCTCTTAATGGCAAAATCTTACTAAAATCAACCTAAACATTTTATGTTTTCAGAATTAAGCTTGATAACTGTCGGGTTGGAAACTCCAAAATATGGCCAGAGAGAAATGTGGGCTAAACTCCATTTACACCTAAGGACCTATCAAACTGCTGCCAGCCCTGAAGGAAATGACAGACTCAAAGGAGAAAATATAAGGAAGGCTACATAAATCCATTGGTGTTAGATTAAAGAGATAGGAGAAAGCAAAGTGGGATAATCCATAGGACTGGATAAAAAAGAAAAATGAATAGACACATATTTCCTTTATATTGGTGGGTATAGGATAGTAAACATTTAACATTTGTGGACAAAAGTTCCAGAGGCCTCTTAAGAGAATTTAAAAGAGAGTTTTATTCTGATATTTGCAAATCAGAGAATGTAGCCTTAGGCATGAACAGGAGCTGATCAGATCAAAGGGATGGGCTGCTAGGGAAACAAAACCATAATATTATATTATGCACCTTCTGATTGGTGGGGGCAACTGACTCAGTGGTCAGCAAGTGGGGTTGGGAGATAAGAACAATGATTAGTTTTAGTGACTCATGGTCAGCAGGAGGAATCATGGGATACAGCCAATAGTTGGAATCATCAGACATGATCCATATACAAGGGGTGTCATAAGAGAGGGGCCAATGTCTCAGTTTCCTTTGGAGACCGCAGAATAAACTAGTAAAACTAGTTTTGTGGTGAAATGTACAATGCAGGGAATGTGGTTTGTCAGGCACACAGAGTCAGAGTTTAAGCTGCTAAATGGCCTAGTCACTTGAACAGGGTCAGAGTTCAAACTACAGAAGGGTCTAGATATTTGGTCACAAATTTATAATATTAGAATCTTCACATGTATAATAAATAGAGATGATATGCAGGCAAAAAGATAAAAATGAGGAGTTTTATGGCCTGGTACTCTGATACCCCTGGTTATGCCCCTAAGGGGTCTGAAAAAAGAAAATTATTGTGACATTTCAAAGGTATGTTATCTAGATGCATAAGAACAATGAACAGGCTTATGTAAGGTAAAGATTAACCATTAGTAAGGGAGCTATGGCCTGGGATGTGACTATACATCATGACTTTCCCAGTTAGGAATTTATGATTAGATCATCTTGTGTGGTTACCTTCAGTTCATTAAGCTGGTCAGACCCACCATATAGCACCTTGAGCTTGCCCGATTTGCTATGCACTAAAGTTTAGATGGTCTAGTTCCTTCCTTTACCTACAGGATGGCTTGCTGGAGTCCTCTTCTCCCCACTCATTCCCAAGACTAATCAGTGTGATGAAGTGATGAGATGGGCCAAGACACCTCCAAATTAATATGCTTTATGGACTTTGTGAGGGTTTAATAAATGTTTGTCAAACTGAGTGAATGACAAATTGATAGGCAATATTTGGGAGATATATATAACCTACCATAGGTAAGCTTCTTATTCCTTGAAACCTCCCCCTCAGTCTAAAAAGTGCCCTGCTCTGAATAACAAATGCAACTGAATGCTTCTTTGCTAATCTCACAAGTGCTTACATCAAGCGTGTGTTTCATAGTCATTTGATAAACACCAGTTTTTCTTCACCTGAGGTCTTTCAAATATACATAACTTATTCTGAAGTCTTCCTTGACAGTGTATACTCTGCCTCCCACAAAACAACTCTCAGAATTGACCATACAGGAATATAGAAGCATTGTAAAAATTAAAATTAATTAGAATAAACCAAAGGCTCTCTTGATCCAGCCCTCCTAATATCACTCCCCTTTTGTTACCAGTCTGCTGTGGATCATTACAGAGTATTTTCTCACTAACAGTTTATTTTGGAAATATTTCCATGTAGACCCATTTCTACACAGAATATAGAGATAGGCCTGCCCTGTAGATTACTCTTCTGCTTTTGATAGGTATTTTTCCTCCAATATTTTGCAATAACAGTCCTACAATGAATATAATTGTATATGCCTCCTTATGCATAAATATCAAGTATTTTATTCCTATATAAATGCATAAATATAGACTTCTGGATAAAAGATATATATATATATATATATATATATATATATATATATATATGTATGTATATATATATATGTATGTATGTATTTGTTTCTACATATTTTTATATTTGGTAGGTTTTTTTTTTTCCTCATGTGTTGGTAAGAGTTCTTTATGTATTTTGAAGAATTGTTCTTAGTTTGATACACACATTGTTATGCCCATATTTCAAGATCCCCAAGCACCACCAGGGAGCCGGGTCCAATGCAAAAGCAAAGAGCCTTTATCAGCTGGCTGGGCGAGCAACTAACAGGGCAACTGCTCTACTATTCTCCACAAAGGGAGACTAGAGAGCAGTAGCAACCCTTTGTATAGAACCGCTTTTAAGCATATTAACCACATCCTGTTCTTACAGAGCAAGCAACTCTAGACAAAACAATTTTTCCTAAGCTACATCAGTATCATGCCATTGACGACCATGTTATTCACAGGGTCATCCTGTTCTTCAGAAAGCTGACATTGTTCTATGAAAAAACACCTATGTGCTGGAAAGGGGCCATCAGACTGTATCTCAAGGCCTGGCCTGGTGCCAGCACTGACAACTCTATCTGGGGCATAGTCCACGGCCTCTCTGGAAGCATTCTCAAAAATTCCCACTCTCCAACATTCCCCACTGGTTTTATATACATGAGTCAAATCATTGACTCTTTTGGGTCATTGTTGGCGAGGGAGTTATATTGACCCATGAGGACTATAAGTTTCTCTGCTGAATAAAGTCAGTGAGCCTGTTTATAAGATGAGGTCCCAGAATGAGGGCCAGGACTAATCTTTAGAGGGTCCAAAGAGTCCTGAACTCTCTATTTTGCCTGGGCTGTCTTAAGCCAGGTATGATAAAGCCACGTCAGGATCCTGTCAACCTTGACTGTGTGGGGGTGGTCCTTTCCAGGTAGGAGTCATTCCTTTGTGGCAAATTTCTTTAACCCAAACAGAGTTACAAGGGTGGAAGGATGGACAGGATTAGACATGCTTCTGGACTGCTTTCTGGGTAGACTGTAAAGCCTGTAAAAACTTGAATAAAGATTGGTTATGGATTACAGCTTTTCTAGATTGGGTTTCTAAGTAAGCTGGTGAGGTTAGTAGGTCAGGGTTTGGAAGAGTCAGTAAAATCTATAGAGGCCCCACTGGTTTTAGGGCAGCCTCCCAGTTATCTGCAGCCTCAATCCTCCTTGCCTCTGTGGAGTCCCCTTGTCTCACATAGGTAGAGATGGAAAGAATTATATCTGGTAATGCTAGTTGGTCCATTGTCCTTGCTCTGCTTATATCTGTCTAACTGCCAAATATATTACCTCAAGGATCCTGGCTCTGAATTCTTTTAGGGAAAATAGACATCGGTGGGCTCTTCCAGCTACTTCCTGGTGAGGTGGGTTAGAAGTTTCTTTCAGAGTGAAGAGATCCTTGCTCTCTGTCAGAGGGACAATGAGGCCTGGGCACAGAAGGTGGTGGGCCTGTGACCTGGCGGAGACAAACTGTAACAAATGGTCTGGTGCAAGGGAAAGAAAATCTTTAAGTTTTAATAACTTCTATTGAAATAGAATTTTTCTCCTTAAAATTACCCCCATGTTTATCAAAAGAGCCAAATTAAAACCAATTTATCAATTGTATTTAATTTGTCCTGATTGTTTGCAACAAGAATGGTAACCAACTACCTTTGCTGGAATTTCATGATTGAATCTTAATGTGCCCTGTAGGGCCAGGAAGCCAAGCTATCCAGCTGCTATCAGGCCTGCCTGTAGTATCTGCTGAATTAGGTGAAGTCCTCACATGTAGTGGCTCTACCCAGGCTCATGCCCTAGGCTTCAAGTGTCACAGCAGCCGTCCTACTTGTCACGGCTTAGAGTGTGTAAGGTTCTGAAGGGATGCAGATTCATCCTTATTGCTCCCTTTCTACTCTGAGCAACTGCCAGTGATGGTAGGATATGGGCCTGATGTTCCACCACCGGCTATTTTCAGGGCTACCAAGCAGGATACCAGGATTTCACGGTGGTACTCATATTGGCTTCAAGTTTTCAGAGTTTAGGCAGAACTCTTTAAAACATGATACTCCATTCAATGTTTCTGATCAATAAAACCACTATTGGAAACCAGTCTTATTGAATTTATGCAAATAAATGTATTTCCATGATTTATTAAGTAATGCCAAATCTCGGAGGAATTGTATAAGAAGAAAAATATACTGAATTACTTTCAGATAGAATTTTTTTCTTGCCAGTCCTTTTTGTGGACTTTCTAAAGTAATATTTTCTGAACAAACAATAACTGTCAGATTTCTTTTATCAGTCCTTCCCTAAGTACTTTGGCATAACTATTTACCCTCTGTTTAGGAAGGCAAAATGCAAATTATTTACTCTTCCTGGATTACTGGCCTGTATTATTTGATTTCTTTACAACATATCTCTTCTCCTTCTTTCTATATACACAACCTTCTATTGTAATAGACACTTCTAAATTAGCATTTAAGCCTTCTTTCTATGTCCTTTGAAAATGCATAACCATGCCTCAGACCTTCTACTCAGTATTCCTTATTCTTTGAAACCTTAATCCTTTAATGAATCCTAAAAAGCAAACAGCCAGAATTTCTTAGAATTACACTTAAGACCATACTTTAAATGTACTTTTTCAAGAAAATAAGGACTTAACCTTCTGTGATAAAAATAAGAGTAAGTAAAAATATTTCCTTTTGAGAAACAGAGATTTTAAAACTTAAACTAGTTGTCAGCCTTAATATTATATCTTAAAGTTGCTGAATATTCCACCACCACCCAAGAAGTACCCAGTAACCCCACCCTTACCAGGCTCAGTCTTTTATTTTTTAATATATTTTATTAATATTTTATAGAGAGGAAGAGAAAGAGATAGAGAGTTAGAAACATCGATGAGAGAGAATCATCGATCAGCTGCCTCTTGCACACTCCCTACTGGGGACATGTCCACAACCCAGGTACGTGCCCTTGACTGGAACTGAACCTGGGACCTTTCAGTCCTCATGCCAATGCTCTATCCCAGCGTTTTTCAACCGCTGTTCCGCGGCACACTAGTGTGCCGCGAGATGTTGCCTGGTGTGCCGTAGGTGCAGACAAGACAAGAATTTTATAATTTTTCACTATTTTGTTTACTTAATATTTCATAATAAAGTAATTATAAAATACTTTCTTTGTGTTTATTTGATTCCTATTCAAGAGAATTACTTTATAGGCACAGAGTTAAATTTTTTAACATTTTCTAATGGTGGTGTGCCTCGTGATTTTTTTCATGAAACAAGTGTGCCTTTGCCCAAAAAAGGTTGAAAAACACTGCTCTATCCACTGAGCCAAACCAGTTTCAGCCAGGCTCAGTCTTTATGTGTATTGGAAAGGTTAAAGGGAAGAAAACAGGGCAGAGGAAGATCTACTGTGTTTTGCCAGCATAGTTCAGATAAGTAAGAAAACAAAGATGCCAGCAGAACTGGTTGTAACTAACAAATTTAATAAAAATCTATCTTTCCCTGCCCTCCTCGCCTACATCCTCCCTTTTCTGAATTAACAATCTACCCTGTCCTTAGAAGGGAAATAAGGCAAGCAGTCTGAGATCCTGTATAACCAGGCTTTTTACACTTAAGGAACAGCTGCTCTCCCTCCAAGATTTTCCTTCTTTACTCCAAGGCCCCAGATCTTAACCTTTACCACTTCTGATATCTCCAACCATTCTCCTGCTCCCCAGCCTAGGGCTTCTCTATCTCAGCAGGCTGAGAGTGAATTCCACTTCCTCTACTCTTTCTCACACATGCTCTGGAGCAGTTTTCTGCTTTCTTCCTCTTCCCAAGACCCACTGTAAATCTATCAGGAAGGGCAGGCAAGTTGCAATTCTCAGGACCACTTGATTTTTTTTTTTTTAAAGGCAGTCTACAAAGCAGTTAGAAACACAAACACAGACAAACAAAGGGCCCCAAAGAACAGTCCTCCAACTCTATGGGAGCAAAACCGAAAGCTAGACAATGGCCTCACACTGACGAGCGGAAGCAACGTGCCTCGTCTCAGATGCTTGAGGGGAATCCACATCCCTCCAGAGAGGAGGATCGGAACGTCTTCAGAGTCCTCCTGCAGATGGTCCTCCAGTGTGTCCACTTAGACCGCATTGGGCACTACCAGAATACCAGAGATGAGCTCACACAAGAGGGACAGAAACACACAAACACACAGACACCTACCAGGGCCAGTCAAGCTCTCTAGGTTGGGGTCCCTCATGGAATTTGGGGATCCCAGACAAGCCCCCAAATGTTATGCCCAGATTTCAAGATCCCGAAGGACCACCAGGGATCCCAGTCCGATGCAAAAGCAAAGAGCCTTTATCAGCTGGCTGGGCGAGCAACTAGCCGGGCAACTGCTCTGCCATTCTCCACGCAGGGAGACTAGAGAGCAGCAGTGACCCTTTGTGTAGAACCACTTTTAAGCACATTAACCACATCCTGTTCTTACAGAGCAAGCAACCCTAGACAAAAGAGTTTTTCCTAAGCTATGTCAGGATCATGCCATTGACGACCATGTTGTTCACAGGGTCATCCTGTTCTTCATAAAGCTGACAGTGATCTATGAAAGAAGGCCTACGTGCTGGGAAGGGCCATAAGACTGTATCTCAAGGCCTGGCCTGGTGTCAGCACTGACAACTCTAGCTAGGGCATAGTCCAAGGCCTCTGTGGAAGCATGCTCAAAAATTCCCACTCTCCGACATCTACACTAATAAAACAGACAGCTACAAATTGACCATACCTTCATGACACCCACCAGCCAATCAGGAGTGAGTATGCAAATTAACCCTACAAAGATGGAAGGTTAATTTGCATATGCAGGCACAAAGCAGCAGGGTGGAGTGGGACACTTGTGTCAGTGCCATGGCAACAATGCAGACATTCCACAAAGCCCCAGAAGCTTCGGGCCGCTGAGCAGCTTGGGAAGGCAGAAAGGTGGCTCTGGGCCAGAGAGAAGGTGGTGCAGGCAGCCAGGGGAAGGAAGGTTCATTCTTGCATGAATCTTTGTGCATCAGGCCTCTAGTACTTACATATATATATTCTTTTATTTGTAAGTACTAGAGGCCTGATGCACAAATATATATATTCCCCATTACAAATTTGCATATTGTCTTTTATAATAAAAATTTTATATATTTAACTAGAGGCCAAGTGCACAAAATTCATGCATTGGGGGGCGGGCGTCCCCTCAGCCCAGATTGCACCATCTCCAATCCAGGTCCCCTCAGGGGATGTCCGACTACTGGTTTAGGCCCAATCCCCTAAACCAGCAATTGGACATCCCTCTAACAATCAGGGGCCACTGGCTCCTAACTGCTCAACTGCCTGCCTGCCTGCCTGATTGCCCCAACTGCCCGCCCCCCTGCCAGCCTGGTCACCCCCAAATGCCACACCTTTGAGCCTGGTTGCTCCACGCAACCTGCTGCTCGGTCATTTGGTCTTCACTAACCCCCCCTGCTGGCCTAGTCTCCCCATGCAGTCTGTTCAGTTGTCCATTTGGTTGCGATGGTTACTTAGGCATATATATATATATATATATATATATATATATATATATATATATAATTTATATATATATATAAATTATATATATATATATATATTGCTGTAGTCAAATTTATTAGTCTTGTGGTTAAAGACAGTCCATATGTCAAGGTTATTCTCTATTTTGTTATCCTATAATTTTATTTACATTTAGCTGTTTGAATTACTTATGTTAGAGGGTATTACCTTAATTTTCTTTCTTTTCCAAATTGAAAGTCAATTGAAGCACACTATCCTACCTTATAAAAGAGTAATATGAAAATTAACCATCACTCCACTCTAGCCACACCCACCAGCCAGTCAGAGCAAATATGTAAATTAACCCCTTCCAAGATGGCTGCAGCCACAGAGAGCAGTTGAGAGAGGCTTGGGTTTCCCCGACAAAAGAAGCCAAGCTTTCCACACACCCTGGCCAGCCTCGGGATACAAAGTTTCAATTATATAAGATGCATGAACCCCAACAGAAATGGCTAATGGCACAGAGAGAACAGGGGCATTAGCTTTGCCCCAGGCTACAAAGTTTCAATTGTAGAAGTAAATAAATTCCAGATACCTGGGCCTCCTCTTGGGTTGCCAGGGGTTATGGCCCTCTGTAAACCCTCACCCAGGCAGCCCCACACCCCAAGGGAACCCCCACCCTGATCTGGGACACCCTTCAGGGCAAACCAGCTGGCCCCCACCCATACACCAGGTCTCTATCCTATCTAATAAAAGGGTAATTTGCAGATTGACCATCACTCCAACACACAAGCCAGCTTCCCCCATGTGGTCAAAGATCTTGCCCCCATGTGGACACAAGGTGGCCACCACAAGATGGCCAGCAAGGGAGGGCAGTTGAGAGGGACCAGGTCTGCAAGGGGGGAAGTTGGAGGTGATCAACCCTGCAGGGGAGGGCAGTTAGGGATGGCCAGGCCAGCAGAGAAGGGAAGTTGGGGGCAAACAGTCTGGCAGAGAAGCAGTTAGACATCAATCAGACTGGCATGTGAGTAGTTAGAGAGTATCAGGCTGGCAGGCAGAAGTGGTTAGGGATAATCAGGAAGATAGGCAAGCGAGAAGTTGGGAGCCAGTAGTCCTAGATTGTGAGAGGGATGTCTGATTGCCCGTTTAGACCTGATCCCAGTGAGGTTTAAATGGGCAGTTTAACATCCCTCAAGGTGTCCCAGATTGGAGAGGGTTCAGGCTGGGCTGACACCCCCCTACCCCATGCATAAATTTTGTGTACCAGGCCTCTAGTCTGTTGAATAATAATC